AAGGTGAGTGTAGGTGGGGAGTTAGGGAGGAGATAGGTCAGTCCAGGGAGGACGGACAGGTCAAGGGGGCGGGATGAGGTTAGTAGGTAGGAGATGGGGGTGAGGCTTGAGGTGGCCACCTGCATGGGCCCAAGCTATGCCTGTCTCTTTGTGGGTTACGTGGAACAATCCCCCTTCCGTAGCGACACTGGCACTAAACCCCACCTCTTCCTCCGTTACATTGATGACTGTATCAGCGCCGCCTCGTGCTCCCACGAGGAGATTGAACAGTTCATCCACTTCACCAACGCCTTCCATCCCAACCTCAAGTTCACCTGGACCATCTCTAATACCTCTCTCTTCTTCCTGGACTTCTCTGTTTCCATCTCTGGCAACCACCTAGAAACCGATATTCATTTCAAGCCCACCGACCCCCACAGCCACCTAGAATACACCTCCTCCCACCCACCTTCCTGCAAAAATGCCATCCCCTATTCCCAATTCCTTCGCCTCCGCCGCATCTGCTCCCAGGATGAGGCATTCCACTCCCGTACATCTCAGATGTCCTCGTTTTTCAAGGACCGCAACTTCCCCCCCTCAGTGGTCGAGAACGCCCTCGACCGTGTCTCCCGCATTTCCCGCAACTCATCCCTCACACCCCTTCCCCGCAATAACAACCAAAACAGAATCCCCCTCATCCTCACGTACCACCCCACCAACCTCCGGATCCAACGCATCATCCTCCGACACTTCCGCCATCTGCAATCCGACACCACCGCCAAAGACATTTTTCCCTCCCCACCCTTATCTGCTTTCTGGAGGGACCACTCTCTCCATGACTCCCTTGTCTGCCCTCCCCTCCAGCCCCACCACACCCGGCACTTTTCCCTGCAACCGCAGGAAGTGCTACACCTAACCCATCCCAGGCCCCAAGAAGACTTTCCACATCAAGCAGATGTTCACCTGCACATCTGCTAATGTGGTATACTGCATCCGTTGTTCCCGTTGTGGCCTCCTCTACATCGGGGAAACCAAGCAGAGGCTTGGGAACCGTTTTGCAGAACACCTACGCTCGCTTCGCACTAAACAACTGCACCTCCCAGCTGCGAACCATTTCAACTCCCCCTCCCATTCCTCAGATGACATGTCCATCCTGGGCCTCCTGCAGTGCCACAACGATGCCACCCAAAGGTTGCAGGAACAGCAACTCATATTCCGCTTGGGAACCCTGCAGCCCAATGGTATCAATGTGGACTTCACAAGCTTCAAAATCTCCCCTCCCCCTACCGCATCCCAAAACCAGCCCAGCTCGTCCCCGCCTCCCTAACCTGTTCTTCCTCCCACCTATCCCCTCCTCCCACCTCAAGCCCCACCCCCATCTCCTACCTACTAACCTCATCCCGCCCCCTTGATCTGTTCATCCTCCCTGGACTGACCTATCTCCTCCCTAACTCCCCACCTACACTCACCTTTACTGGCTCCATCCCCGCCTCTTTGACCTGTCTGTCTTCTCTCCACCTATCTTCTCCTCTATCCATCTTCTATCCGCCTCCCCCTCTCTCCCTATTTATTTCAGAACCCCCTTCCCCTCCGCCATTTCTGAAGAAGGGTCTGGGCCCGAAACGTCAGCCTTCCTGTTCCTCTGATGCTGCTTGGCCTGCTGCGTTCATCCAGCTCTACACCTTGTTATCTCAGATTCCCCAGCATCTGCAGTTTCTACTATCTCGAGATATTATGGGTGTTTTGTCATTGAATAGCAATATTGTAAGCATCTCATATCCCGTTTTCAAAGGGAACTATTACTCCTAAATTAACATGGAGTTCCATACAAAACACAATTGTGCCACACAAGGACAGTTGGTGAAAGGATGTCAATCACAGCTTTGCAGAGAAAGATACAGAGAGAATAGAGGGTGGGTTGAAAATTGAAACAGGAAGCATCTACTGAGCAGCTCACCTGTCATTGCTGCCAATCAATTGTGTCTCTGAATACTTCTCTGTTCTGCTTTTCAATGTTACTTATGTTGAACCAGGTCCACAGTCCTGTATGTGTATGTGCAAATAAATCTGCTTTCACTTTTGCTATTGAAATGGTAGATAAAAATGCGCTCAAGTGTCTAAACACTTGGAATGATCTTTATATTAACGCTATAAAAGCAACTTAACCTTTTACAGCAGAAATATTTCGATAATATAGGCAAAGTGAAAAAGTTACATTTGTGGTTAAAGCACTACCTAAGCCATACAGAGCTGCTGGTTTGACTTCTCGTCTGTGCAGCCTTAACTAACCTCCGTTTGGGTACAATTGACTCCAATGCCGGAATACGAAAATTCTGCATAGATCCCTCTGTGTGTTTGAGACTTTAGCAACATTCTAGACACTGACATTGAGTTATATTTGAGGAAGTGTTAGCCAAAACATAAAGGGAAGAGTAAAGGGGAACAGCTACAAAATGAAAGGCGTGGAAATACTCCAACACCACACCCTACTAAAGAAAGATACAGAAATCATACAAAGAGCAGACAAATAGCACACCACCACTATACATGGAAAAATCCAGTGGGGAAAAAATTGTAAGCTTGATTTCCCAATCAAAGACAAACCCCCATCATGAAATACAAATGCTGTTTTTAATATGCTTTTAAATTATTTAACAGCATTTTCAAAAGGTATTTTAAAATGGTGACATCTCTTTTAAAATAGCTAAAGTAATAATCAGTACAGCACAATGCTAAACAGTTTTAAATGTCTCTGCATAAAGTGCTCTGACATACATAAATGCTGTTATTGACCACAATGGTTATCATCAAGAGTACATTATGGACAAAAATGATATAACTTCTAAAGAAGCGTACAATCCACATTAAATAGGCAATTTAATAAAACAATAGGGAAGGCAGTTGATTTGATGCATCTTAGGCAACATGTGTCTTGGTTTCAGTGCTATTGCTAATCATTAACAATAAATTGACGTAAGGAGAATTAATTTGCCCAAATGGTGAGTTCCAAATCTCATCTGCCTTGCTGCAGAGAGGCACAAGGTGTACGTAAGATATTCACAGCTAATGGCTGATGTGGGCAGAGGCCAAGAAGTAGGCTACACAGTCCCTCTCTTTAGTGCCCCTTATTCAAAGTTCACCAAAACTAATGGAGTATCTGGTGCTGATAAGCAAAAATAGCCAGATAAATTTAGTGGCACATATTTAATAAAACCATGAAGTTGATGGAGAGCCCAAGTCAGTACAGCAATTGCCCTTTGGAGAGAATACATTCCTTTTTGGGATAAATATATAGGCAGAACCCTATTGTAGGACTTGGTATAGTAGAGTAGTTGAGCACATTTTTCTCTGCCATTTCAATAGCAAAAGTGAAAGCAGATTTATACTCCTAGTAGAGTATTTAGTGTTGGAAAATAAACAGTAATTTCTTTTATGCCTTCGCTGTAAAACCACATAAAATTAAACTTTTCTCAAATTTTTCTCTCATCACAACATAATGCCCGAATACAGGAGGCAGTATACTCAGTCGTGGTTCTTTTCCACACATGCTCATGCGGCTTCCTAGTGTGATTACATGCCTCCTTCAGATTGGGTGTAATCAGGCATATAACATACATGCAAAGAGCTAAAATATTCATGTACAGTGATGTTGAAAGTGATAGTGAAGATCAAATGAAGACATCTGGTGCATCAATTGTTTGTCAGCATGTAATTTTTATGTTGCTACAAAGGATGTGAAGTGACACAAAGGACAAGGTATAAAACCTGCTTTGAGCTGGAGTTGATACAAATTACAATCTGCATTTTGTGATGATTGGACCTCTCTGTGCTGTATTGTTGAGCTCATAGTTCCTGTGAACCTACAGCGTAGCAGAAGCTAAGAGGCAGTATTCTACCTGGTGACCAGCACAGATTAGGCACAACTGTAAATATCATATTGCCCCATTTAAGACCTTGAAGATTGTACTGCAATATCTATCTTAGAGCAAGGCTGTTAAAGTCCTAATTAATTTTCATATCTGAACTTGTTAGTTTGAGCACTGGGATTAGAACAGTCAGTTAGAGTCACCGAGCTAACATAAATGATTTTCTTCTAAATTGATATTTTAAACTGGTTTTGACACTCAAAAGTAATCATTAGTAGAAGTTACACAAAGATAGCAACTAAGATGAAAGTGATTAAGGGAGATGAATATCAAAAACATATAATTCATAGCATGCAAATTACTTAATATTAGAGAACCACTAAATTAGAGGGACCAGTATGGAACTGACTGCTCCACAACACAACCAGATTCCCAGCTCTCTACAACTGGGTTTTCATCTCTTAATGCCACGTGCGAGGCAAACATGAATGAATTATACTGTTTAAACAAGCACGACTCTGCAATCTATTAAACATGAAACTTAAAAGTACCACCAAGTAGCACGAGGCAAGATATTTGAAAGAGAAAGCTTTTCCTACCTGCAGGCTTCACTTGAACTCTTAGGATACACATAGGTAAAATGACAAAAGCACCTATTTTCAAAAATAAGCAGCTCTGCTGAAGGTATTCTACAACTACAGACAACAAATGAACAGGTTGCTATGGAACCTCAAGGAGACTGTTCTCTTAGGTCACTTTACGGTTCGCTGAATTGAAACATTAAAGGTCGCCTGGACTACGTAATGTTATGTGCGGACCTGATGATGAGTAGCAAGAGGAAAGTTATACACATCTTCAGTTTCTCTATGGAACAATAATCTTTACAGCAAAACACATGATCCACTTTATCTTTCCCCACCAGCATGTTGTGTAGTTAAAAACAGCCTGTCCACTCCATAATAGATCCTCAGTCACACTGTGCTCAGTCTCCAAGATAAAAGCCTCAGTGAGCTTTGCAGCTTCTATCACTCGCACAGCATTCTTTGACGTACAATTATGTTTACTAGAGACAAATGCTTATCACAACAACTGGCTGAAACAGATTTAGCATGACCAGTGTGTTATTTCTGTTTCAATAGGAGGAGATTTACTCACCTATTAATTTATCCCCACAGAGCTTCATATCATCTGATTACCTTTGATTTGGGCTCAAATGATGTCCTAGGGAAAAAAAACACCGCAAATTGTCAATGTCAGCAAGTCACAATGACATTAAGTAACACAATAACTCTGATAATATACCGCTTATAAGTGGAGTCTAATTATAACCAATTGTATCATCAGCTTAATTTCAAACTTTCCAGAAGAAACACTGAAAGAGCACCACACAGTAAAATAAAAATAATCAAATTATTTAATCCAGTACTGTGTTTCGAGAATAGGATTGCAAAATAAATACATTTGAGCTCCTTGGCTTCCTAAACATTTAGTCAAAAATTAATTAAACCTTGCATTTACAAAAGTAATATATTTTACAGCTGGCTCCCCACAGATAGATCATTTGATAAATGCAACTTGAAATTCCAACAAAATGCTTGCTCTGGAAATAGGCTGACTACAGTATTTTATTTCACTCCATCTTCCATTCGCCATAGTTCCCATATGATTGGCAGCCCGTTGACAGTGATCACACAATTATGCTACATTGCAATGTTACTACAGCAATGTGGGCAAACTGGGGGAGGCGGGGTTGGCAGTACACAGCCTATATACATCACTCAGTGCAAACATATCTACATTGATGAGCTTAAAAATCCACCAGCCTCTAACTAGTACTGACACAAGTTCCATCAACCCTTAATAGGTTTTATTAACTATGAAGGGGCAAAAGATCTAACCCATGGTAACTTAAGTTGAATGACAGTCAGAAAGTAGACTGAACAGGTCCAAAATCTACTTGCACATCTGTGACAGTTATACCTGGACCAGTGAGAGGCGAACAATGTAACTTAGTTCCAGCAAGATAAGATGCATTAAGTCAATACAACTTGTGCAAAATTTGGCACAACTGTTTCACTTCCATATGAGATAATGAATTAAATTCATGTTAATGTCAGTTGCATTGTTAAGTGACTCTTCATGGTCAAGGCAAGGGAAGCCTTTCAGGAAATACTGAAGACTAATATTTAAAATCTCTGCAATCTCATAATTTCCATCATGCCAGTTAATAATAGGATTATAATAAAGGCAAAAAAAGTAATAAGGGCAGTACAGGGAAGCAGGAAAATACCTCTCAAAGAGTCAAGTCAAAGGTATCAAAAGCTTGGCCATTTTATCTTTCAGCTGGCTTCGGAAGTTCAATGGAGGCACGGCAGTCTTAAATTTCAAACAAACACAAGTCCTCCAATTAGTTGTGGAAGGGTGAATTGTAAAATCTACTCTCCCATATACTGAAAAATCTACAAGAGGTTAGTGCATAATATCTGAACTAATGAAAAAGGTGGAAAAGCTCAGCAGGTCTGGCAGCATCAATGGAGAGAAATCAGAGTTAACACAAGTTCTGAAGAAGGGTCACTCGACCCAAAACGTTAACTCTGTTTTCTCTCCACAGATGCTGCCTGACCTGCTGAGCTTTTCCAGCAATTTCTGTTTTTGTTGCTGACTCACAGCATCTGCAGTTCTTTCAGCTTTTAATGATGAAGGTTATTTAACAGATGACTAATCATATGGTATCAATGTAGACAGTATCTGAAATACCCAAAGGAATGGAGGCCCTCTTTTTTTTGTACCTCTGGACTGAACTATCCCTACGCACTCCTGGCTCACCTTCATCATTCTAAATAAACTTGAAATCATCCAAAAAGCAGCTGCTCATGCTTTAACCCCACTAAGCCCTATTCTGCTATTGCCTCTGTGCTCACTGCTTACACTGACTCCTGGTCAAGAGACATTTACTTTTAAAATTGTCATTCTTGCTTTCAAATCCTTCCCATGACTTCACTCTTCTCCTCTCTCTCTCTCTCATCTTCTCTAGTCACACAATCCTTTGTTTCCTCTGCACTGTTCTAACTCTGGCCTGTTAAGAATCTGCGATTTTATTCACTCCACCATTGGTGCCAGGACTTCAGTTGCCAATAATCCATGCTTGGAAATTCCTGCCCTACACTTCTCCAAATCACTAGCTTCCCTCCCTCCTCAAGGACATTCCTTCTGACTTGTGTTGTTGACTTTTTCTTTCCCATCCAGTCAAACATCTCCTTATGTGAGTCTTTGTCATATTTTGTTTAATAATGCTCTTGTGAAGCATTTTGTTATGCTCAATAAAATTTGTTGATTTAACAATGCTGTTAGAATTAAATGTCAGGGACAAAGATTCCTTATTCCCAGGATATTAACAGGGAGAGTAACTTATTTTGGTGGTAATTATGCTACAAGAATACACAAATCACCTCCAGATATCAAGATATCATGTCAAGGAGAAAAATGAGGCTTATGATTTTCTTACCAATGAAACTGTCTTAAGAATTTCTCTTCGTAACCCGTATCCCTTTATTTCCCTTTGGGTGCATCACTTGAAGACACTACAACTCTAAAAACACAGTTTGCTGATGCAAATTACTAGGCAACAGTTTTTATAACCTAACCAAGTCTCTGATTAATTGAAACCTTGGTTAGGTTAGAGTAACATCGCAAAAGTAGTTAGCATAGATAAATTGCAATAAATACATAGAAGTGCTTTTGGTTTCTTCATTCACCTGAGGTGATGAATGCTAAATGCAAAAAGACCATGGTATATCCAATTCACCTACTATTCTAGTAGTCACATGAAAGAGTGATAACTGAATTGTTGACTAATTTTATAAATCAATCTCTATCAGTTAGTCAACAATAGAACCCAAGTGGTGGAGAGCTCTGGGAACCACATGATTTTATTCATTCCTGGGATGTGGGCACAACTAGCAATATTAGCATCTGTTGTCCATTGTTAATTGCTCTTAACTTGAGTGGATTACCAGACCATTACAGGTAAGAATGGCAGATTTCCTTCAATGAAGAACATTAGGGAACAAGATGGGATTCTACAACAAGCGATGATTACCATTACTGAGACTAGCTTCCAATCCCAAAGTAATCAAGCATGCTATACTAACCATATGTTACATTTCAAATTAATTATATATTATATTCAAAAATGTTATTTGGAACAGTAACTTAGTCACATAGTGTTTTATCATTGTCATCTCCATCATAATCAACTACTGATGTAGAAAAACATCTTGTGGCAATTCATAACGGCATAATGAAAGCAAATGATCATTGAGCCAAAGTTGGAATTGTTCGTGAGGCCAGCAAAAAACTTGAGAAAAAGTTGCGTGTTTGGAACAGGATCTGAGATTAGAAGGAAGACATGTAGACGTAGTGGGATCAGGGAGGAAATTTCAGAGCACGTGGGGCAAGGTGACTGAAGACAAGTTATGGGGCAAAAGGAATTTGGGGTAGGAGAAGGTGGGAAAGTGCACAAGGGATCTTTCAAAGAAATGTAAAGTTCAGGAAGACGGCCTTGGTTAAGGTGGAAGAGGTTACAAAGAGAGAGCGAAAGAGAGAAAAATGGGACCAAAAAAAGATAAAAGAGGATTTTAACCATTTAAGGCATTAGAGGACTAGATAAAAGAACAAACAAAAGGAAAACAATTAAACAGCATAATAATTTGCAGCAGAATTACAATGTACACTTATTCAACATGCCAGCTCTACAATTTCTCTAGGATGAAAAAGCTACTTTTTTTCTTTTCTCATAATATCTATAGTCTCTGGGATGTACTGTTATGCGTGGAACATGGGGAACCACCAGAACAGACTAAATTTCCCATCTTATGTTGTTTAATTCCTTTGCAAATAGCTTTGTCAATCATTTGTGATGAAGATGATCTCAAGGATTAATGTTGAAGTAAAACACATTGAGGGTCTTCACCTTCAGCACCAGACACTTTCATCAGGAATTGTATTTCCATTATGCCTGACTGACATCAATTTTAAAAATGCTCAGGTACAATGCAAACCAGGCTGACTGCTATGAACATCACAAAGCATCATCCCCATGGCCTGGATCCTGGGAGCCACAATATATATTTGAATTAATGCCTCGCTCAAAGCACTTTTACATTAACTGGACCTCTGCAAAAGTTTGCTGCTGTCCACTTTGAAACTTGTGAAGGCTGTCTCTTTACTAAATGATAGAAACACAAACCAAGCAATTCCCCTTTTGGTCACATTCTGTGTATTAGGACACCCCACACAATTTCAAACATTAGTTCACTGCCATTCTCTTGTCAGTATTGCAGAGTACATTGGGACCAATTTGGTTCCCAAGTATAATTGGGTTGGTTATTTTAACCTGAACTGCAGCAACAATTCAGTATAAGATAAATTACTTTAGTCTGTCTTCATTTATGTAGCACCAACGCACAAACAGCATATGAAATGCATTACATTGCACCATAATTCACCTGCAAACAATAATGTAATGCATCAATTACTTTAAAATAAAATGCCCATGAGTACTCAATGAGTCACTTAATCCAGTGGACCATTATTCAGGTTACCCCAACGTAATTTGATACAACAAATATCTTTAAGACACAAGTGATTCTTCGGCCCTCCTCCACCCAACAAAACATTGTACTGTAACAATAGGAGATTGCAAAAGTAATTCTGAAAATAAATCAAATTTGAAAGTTGGTTCAATTTGTAGTCAATTACCTCTCTGCCTGCTTCAAAGTGAACAATGTTCCATTCTGATGATGAAATGATTGAGATCAATTTCCTTTGGGTAAGGCTAAATATATTTTCGTTATCACTGTTTGTGTGGTGACTGAAGGTGGTTTAACCTGACTCATTTCCAGTTGCCACTGCTCTCATTAGCAGAACACCACAAAAATATGCAAATTCTGGTACCAAATATACTCCAGAGAATCTGCCCAAAATGCAAACCAAAAAAAAAGTGCCCAGAACAAACATCCAATGAGAGAGTTGGTCGTGTCTCTTCGCATCAGGCACTGGAGGAATATGTTGTGCAGAAAATAGTCTCAAACATTCTGCCTGCTTTTAACCCTGGAATTGCCAACTGGGACGATTTTTAACTCTGTCAGCGCCAGTTGAGATAATTAGTCACAGAGTGAGCTAGTATCAGAGAAAGGTGCGAGTCTTTCCTCTGGCAGAGA